TTAAGGTTGACTTATTTTCTCAGTTATTTTATGTAATATGTATAATTGTTGTCAATTGTGTATGTACTGATCTGTGACCTCATTTTCATGATTCAATGAAAGACAAATTTTTAGCCCAATGATTTTATCAATGGTTACTCAACTGCTATAAGTTAGATGGACTATATTTGGCCATGGTAGATGGATCATTTTAATGTGAACTTGTCCTGTAAAACACATTTCATGTTACCTTGAGCTATTCTTTCAATAATCAACAATCCCGTTTTACGATATATATAAAAATAAGAAGATGTAGTATGATTGCCAATGAGACTGCTCTCCACCCAAGACCAAATGACATAGAAGTTAACAACTATAGGTCACCGTAAAGTCTTTAATAATGAGCAAAACCCATACCACATAGTAAGGTATAAAAAGCCCCAAAATTACAAATGTTAAACAACTCAAATAAGAAATGCACTTTAAAATTCTTTATCGGCATGAGTGGTTTTATGAAAATAAGGAGATTTTGATATGTCTGCCAATGAGATAACAATCCAAAGCATAGGGTTTTCTAATCAAATGTGAAAACTGATAGTCATATTTCTGAATATATATATGTATATATATACAATGTTTATGGAATTTTCTTACACCCTTATTAGTGCAATTATCTTTTTATTACTACGAAGTCAGCTAATTCCATAAATATCTTGACATAAAGTGACTATACAGTTTATAGATTATCTATCCACAGGCTATGGGTTATCAGACAATTGTTGTATAATCTTTAAATAGTTGAGGTTGTAAGGTCTATTTAACATTTGTAGTGTGAAGTAAATATAGTTTTATCATTCAAGTAGTTTTAAGAACTGATCAATCGTAACCTGTAACAGATATACACATACTGATTAGAAAAATTGTAGAAGAAATTTTTAGATCATATTGCAGTTAAGTTTACATAAACCTTTATGACCATTTTCCATAGATTTTGAGGGTAGTAGTGAAGACTTTGTTAAAATCCAGAATATTTGTGTCTGTAGGTACCTACAAAAAACAGATAAATCAACAGGAATTATTACTAAGGTCTCAACGCCCTTATTAATTTAAGTTAACTTAACAGAAGTGGCTCTTTTTGTTGAGATGAATCAAAGGAGATGTGGTGTATAAGTCAATAGACAAAAACACAAATCACCAAAAGAGGGAGACATACAGTCTAACTCTTAAACAATTGACAGATGTATCTATACCAAGCTCTATATCACTTTGTTAAGTCTATTTTGTTGTATGAAAATAGTCAAACTTTTGGTTTTAGCTAGACTGTTGATGTTATTTCAGTAAAGTTGTTCACTACATTGTTAAATATGTTTGTCATTATGACCTGTAATGTTATAACTTCTGATGCATCTGATATGGTATCATGATTTTTTTTCCCTCTGTGATCAACTGGTAGAGTGGCAAGACTTATTTTGCTTCTCTGTGATCAATTAAGCATACTGGTAGAGTGGGAAGACTTATTTTGCTTCTCACCTTTGAAAAATAATAACAGAGGTAATATTCTATAGTGCTCTACTTCATCAATAGAAAATTCTGTAAATCTGACTGGCTCTCAACGGCCTGGCCAGAAAATTTCATATCTGACTAATTTTCAACAGTGTGGCCAGAAAATCCTTTAGATCTAACTGACATTCAATGGCCTGGCCATAAATTCTGTAAATCTGACTGGCTCTCAACGGCCTGTCCAGAAAATCCCACATCTGAATGAATTTCAACAACGTGGCCTGAAAATCCTTTAGATCTGACTGATATTCAACATCCTGGCCAGAAATTCTGTAAATCTGACTGGCTCTCAACGGCCTGGCCAGAACATCCTTTAACTTTGACATACAGTAGCCTGTTTCTGACTCTGACATTCAATTATATGGCCAGAAAATCCTGATTTCAATTCTGACATTAAATGGTTTGGTCTCATGTTCTCATAGAATTGGTACATTTAGGATAAATAACATGCTGTAATGGCTCTTTTATTTTTGTTTGTATAAGGATGCAAATATGTTTAGCCCACATGTTTTCACTTATTCCTATATTATAGCTCATACATTGATTTTGTCTGTAAACTTTCTGTAAACTTTCTAGACACTTGTTAGTTGATTTTGTTTGGAAACAATAAGTGTGATAGAATTCCTAACGGCTTTTTCCTGTTACCAGGAACCATGTGCCATTATTACATTAAGTTGGTCTCGGAGGTGTAACTAATTGAAATAGATCATTAATGGGTATTCATTTCAATAGGTGTTCGAGGAAATACAGTTATTAATGTCTAGTAAATCTAAAATATTGGCTAATGTTGTACAATGTACAAGATTTATCGCTTTGAAGTTAAATATTAAACTAATGTGGGATTATATATTTGAAAATGTGAAGTAAATAAGATGAACACACATCATTTTAGATGTAAATCTGTGTTGTATTGAACATGATTTCAAGAAGTTACAAAAAATTACAGAATAGTTTTTATATACACATTTAATGAGGAAGAACTGGATGGCAAAAACAATTGTGGAAGGACACAGAATTATTAGACTAAATTAAACATAATTTTTTGAATTATGAGTTACTTTTGACTGTAAGAAAATAAATAAACTCTAAACAACCAACTGCCTAAGCCTATTGGAATGAGGCTTCTTATCATCCCTGATAACCCCCCTCCCCTATTTTGCTTTTAACTTTTCACCAGAACGAACTTTAAATTTGATATTCTTATTTTCGATTTGTTTTGAAAAACTTTGATCGTTACTTTTCAGTTGTGATGTCTCACTAACTCAGATAACACTGTATATGTTTATGTTACTAATTATTGACAAACACATGAAGGCAGGGTTTAAAGATAGTTTATTATTGCTGATTTATTCCTTCTTGGTTAGACTCCATGATCAATGCTTTTAGGATTGCTAGTATATAAAAAAATAAGTCTTGTCAGGCAACTCTGGTTCCTACTCTTCTGGTTTCCTATGGTTGTAAAAAAAAGTTTTTGGTGATCCTTTGGTACTAAAGGGTGATCACCTCAAGTGTGCGATGTTATGGTTTTCTAACACCAGCTTGGTCAAACAAAAGACAAAAATTGATAATTTTCTCTGCCAAGTTCACAGCATTAAGGAGAAAGAACAAAGACTGTTTGACTCAAGAGTCAGAATAATGTTTCCAAGTGGAATGGAATGTCTATTTGTGGGCTGAAAACTTGTGTTCTCTAGTACATCAGCAAGTCATTCTTGTACAAATCAGGGTATTCCCATATCTCTAGTACATCAGCAAGTCATTCTTGTACAAATCAGGGTATTCTCATATCTCTAGTACATCAGCAAGTCATTCTTGTACAAATCAGGGTATTCTCATATCTCTAGTACATCAGCAAGTCATTCTTGTACAAATCAGGGTATTCTCATATCTCTAGTACATCAGCAAGTCATTCTTGTACAAAGCAGGGTATTCCCATATCTCTAGTACATCAGCAAGTCATTCTTGTACAAAGCAGGGTATTCCCATATCTCTAGTACATCAGCAAGTCATTGTTGTACAAATCAGGGTATTCCCATATCTCTAGTACATCAACAAGTCATTGTTGTACAAATCAGGGTATTCTTATATCTCTAGTACATCAACATCTCATTCTTGTACAAATCAGGGTATTCTCATATCTCTAGTACATCAACAAGTCATTCTTGTACAAATCAGGGTATTCTCATATCTCTAGTACATCAACAAGTCATTCTTGTACAAAGCAGGTTATTCCCATATCTCTAGTACACCAGCAAGTCATTCTTGTACAAAGCAGGGTATTCTCATATCTCTAGTACATCAGCAAGTCATTCTTGTACAAAGCAGGGTATTCTCATATCTCTAGTACATCAGCAAGTCATTCTTGTACAAAGCAGGGTATTCCCATATCTCTAGTACATCAACAAGTCATTCTTGTACAAAGCAGGGTATTCCCATATCTCTAGTACATCAGCAAGTCATTCTTGTACAAAGCAGGGTATTCCCATATCTCTAGTACATCAGCAAGTCATTCTTGTACAAAGCAGGGTATTCCCATATCTCTAGTACATCAACAAGTCGTTCTTGTACAAAGCAGGGTATTCCCATATCTCTAGTACATCAGCAAGTCGTTCTTGTACAAAGCAGGGTATTCCCATATCTCTAGTACATCAGCAAGTCGTTCTTGTACAAAGCAGGGTATTCCCATATCTCTAGTACATCAGCAAATCATTCTTGTACAAAGCAGGGTATTCCCATATCTCTAGTACATCAGCAAGTCATTCTTGTACAAAGCAGGGTATTCCCATATCTCTAGTACATCAGCAAGTCATTCTTGTACAAATCAGGGTATTCCCATATCTCTAGTACATCAGCAAGTCATTCTTGTACAAAGCAGGGTATTCTCATATCTCTAGTACATCAGCAAGTCATTCTTGTACAAAGCAGGGTATTCCCATATCTCTAGTACATCAGCAAGTCATTCTTGTACAAATCAGGGTATTCCCATATCTCATTTACATGTTATGGTTCTGCATTTGCATGTGATATTTGCCACTGGATGTTAAACAGTCATTAATCAATCATTTAATCTTCTCTCAGAAAGACTAAAAGTAGATTTTTGTATATACATATGTGGATTATATTTTCAGGAAATTGTTGAGTTGAAGGAAAAGATATGATATATGAAACAAATAACGTTAACTGATTAGAAATATTTCTTACAGGACAATATCAAAGAGGATTCATTAAAACCACTGTTTGTTTTTATATTTTGATGAGCACAGATAAAAAAGTATTAACAAAAATACCAAACACCTAGGTAAATTCAAAAAGGGGGGAGTCTGTAAAAGCTGACAATATCAAACGACTGACTATATCTACCAACAAAACGAATGGAAAACAAATGTCATATTCCTGACTTTGTAAAGGCATTTAGATATATCAAGGAATACAGTGTAAAGCAGAATTTTGTTTTGTATTTTCAGGAGAATGTTTAATTGAAGCTGGAGAAAGTTTTAAACAGTTAGCTGATTATAAATATTCCTTAGAAGATAATGTTAAACAGAACTTTTTAGAACCACTCACTCATCTACAGACGAAAGATATAAAAGAAGTCAATGTAAGCACTTTATGTAATGTATTCATTTCAGTCTTTTCTCTACAAATGTCTTTATGATGTTTTGTGATTGTTTGTTTGTTTTGAGTTGTTTTGGTGTTGTTTAAAAATCTTTCATCTGGCAACAAATGATTTAATTGATAGAAGGACGTCACCGGTTTTATATGCAATTTGTTGATTACTTAATATATTCCTTCGTAGACATATGTAGAGCGTACAACTTTGCTGATGCCATTGGTTTGCTTCAATTTTCCTGTAAGGTTTCACTTCTTTAGCACATAAAAAAAAATGAAGAACAGATACAGAAGCACTTTACATATCTTTACATATTTGTTTTCTGCAAAATATACAACTACCCCATATCCCCTCAGGCCCTTTTTCTGAAATCTGAACTACAATCATTTAACAATTAACAACTCAAAATTTACAAAAGGAATTAGGGGCCAAAAGGGGCCAAAAATAAGCATTTTTGTAACTTCCAGACATAACTTGTGTGTAAGTGTATGGATCTCTCTGACATTGTACCACAAGGTTCCATATCACAAAGGGAATGCTGGGATTGATTTTGGGGGTAATTGTCTCCAAATTTTAGGAATTAGGGGCCAAAAAGGGGCAAAAAACAAGCATTTTTCTAGTTTCATGACAATAACTTGTTTGTAAGTGTATGGATCTTTATGAAATTGTACTACAAGGTTCCATATCACAAAGGGAATACTGGGATTGATTTTTGGGGTAATTTCCTCCAAATATTAGGAAATAGGGGCCAAAAAGGGGCAAAAAACAAGCATTTTTCTAGTTTCATGACAATAACTTGTTTGTAAGTGTATGGATCTTTATGAAATTGTACTACAAGGTTCCATATCACAAAGGGAAGGCTGGGATTGATTTTGGGGGTTTTCCCTCAAAATTTTAGTAATCAGGGGCCATAAAAGGGCAAAAAAAACATGCATTTTTCTAGTTTCAGGACAATAACTTGTTTGTAAGTGTATGGATCTTTATGAAATTGTACTGCAAGGTTCCATATCACAAAGGGAAAGCTGGAATTGAGTTTGGGGTTAATTGCCCTAAACGTTTAGGAATTTGGGGCCAAAAAGGGGCCAAAAAACAAGCATTTTTCTAGTTTCCAGACAATAACTTGTGTTCAAGTGTATGAATCTCTCTGAAATTGTACTGCAAGGTACCATACCACAAAGGGAAAGCTGGGATTGAGTTTGGGGGTGATGAATCATAAGGGGGTTCAAAAAATTGGGGGGGGGGGATTTTTTTTTTCCTTTTTTTTCTTTAACATTTTCCATTTTAAATTGGTTATTTCTGATTTATATATAAAAGCAAATAATAATGATATGGTTTGAATAGGCATACATGTGAACCTCCCGACGGGAGTACAATAATCCCGTTTTCAGGGGTCTCCTCCCCCCTCCCGTTGAAAAAATCCCGTGTATGAAATTTTTCATGAATGAAAAATTTCTGCCCAACATAACATCTCAGGCATCTGGTGTAACTGACATTACCTGAAGTTATATTTTACCTGTAAATCAATTAACATGCATAATTATATGGCTTCACTTGTCAGCTTGGGTGTCAAACATACTGGTAAGCAACGATTTTTACCTCAGGCTAACTGCCGTTGTGTAACAAAAACTGTGTATTTATTGGGTTACTTCCCTTGATTTATCCTGTTTTAAGTTACTTTCCTTTTAATAATGAAAATTTTTAAAAGAATATAAATAAAATATAAATTGAACAAATAATCATAAAAGGATGGTTATTAAATGATTTTAAATGTCTTAGGACAAATAAAAAAATAATAATTTGAAAATTATTTGAGGATTCTATACTTCCTTTTAAGGCTTAAATTGAAATTTATATAATAACTATGACCCTAACTTTACAGATAGAATGAATTTCTGAGTTTGCAAATAAAAACTATTTGCAAGAGAAAAAAATAAAAAATAAAAACTATTTGCAGACAGCTAAACAAAAGTTCTGGTTGCAATGATTGTTTTATAGAATATGAAGTAAAAAATTTAAAGAACATACTGGAAAAAAACAATGTTAGATTGAACATGTAGAATATAAAGATGGAGAAACTTTATAAGTACAAGGGTACTATAAACATAATAAATTGGTTGGAAAGTTGAAGAAAACACACTTTAAAAGACCATTTTTACAGCACACGGTTACATTTACAACAAAATTAATGTCGATTAAAAACCTCCTGATCTGAGTCCTAATCTCCTGACCAAAATTTCCCAATCTCCTGATCTGAGTTTCACAGTCCATCACATGTATGAATAGGTAAATTGAAAATTTTTAAGTTCTTAGACCACTTTCATTCTGTGTCAGAAACCTATGCTGTGTCAAATATTTAATTACAATCCAAATTCAGTGCTGTATCAAGCTTGAATGTTGTGTCCATACTTGCCCCAACTGTTCAGGGTTCGACCTCTGCGGTCGTATCAAGCTGCGCCCCAGCGGAGCATTTTATTTTCTATGACGTCATATTTTAAGGGACCATGTCTAAGTGACCCTTAGTGGTGGAATGGTTAATAAAGATACTTGTATAAAACTAGATATCACTGGAATCAGAATTGTCTCTAGTTTATATTGAAATAAAAATATAGTGTACTTTTAGTATAGTAAAAAAGTTCTATCCAGAGAAAATGGGGAAAAAGTTGCCTAATCTGAACATAAAAAACCTGAAATCAGCTCATGTGCATACCCATGTAAACATGATACAGGCACATTTACCATAATCAAAACTGTATGAAATTCATAGGTTTTTACCTGGCCTTTAATAAAAATCATGTTTCAGGGTACGGTTTCCTGCTTCGAAAAGAGCTACAGTGGCTGCAAATAAGTTTTCAATTTTCACTGCCAAAACAACAGGATGTTTACAGTGTTGTCTCCCCTCAAAACATGTATATTTAATCTAATTTATAAAATTATTTTAATCATTTAACCTGTTTAAATTGAAAGCTAATTAACTAATTTATACAATCAAATACAAAAAACATGATACTTTTTCACCAATTATATGAATAAAAAGGGATTTCCCTCCATGGTTATTTTTAGTCTGGGAATAACCCCTAGTTTTTTATACGAAACTGTTTATAGCACCCTTAAGCAAAACTTTGTTTGCGATATATAAAAAATTCTCTACTTTTCTGAATCTGTACATTATATCGATTAAAATGATGTCTTACTTTAAGGATTGTGACCATCGATAGTGAAACTACAGCTCATTTTTTATGTCGCATAGTATTGGCATATTGGCCAGTGGCAAATAGTTAAACTGGCATATTCCAAACATTTCCTGTATCACATTTTCATCAGTTATACAAAGAAAAAAAATCATAAAATTGGGTTTCTTTTGAATAAATAGAATAAAAACTATGAAATAAACATAAATAAAGTTACTTTAAAAAGATTTGGTCCCTAGTATTATATGAACTAAGGTGTAGCTGAGTTGAGAAAAATACTGAAATAGTGTATTTCTTAGGCATGGCACTTGTAGCTATTTGACTATAAAAAGTACCAAATATATAATATAATGAATAAAAATGTATGTTACACTGATCAGTAGTAAAGGTCAAAGTAGAAAAAATCTACACTTTTCATGTGCAACTTTTGGTTCCAAATATATGAAAGAATGAATAAAAATATTATGACGTCGCAAAAAGATTAAAAAACTTCAAAATTTGCACACAGTCTGGTTTTCTTATATCTGGTTGCTATGTACAAATCTGTAATATTTGCATTAAATATACCAAACTGATGCTTTTAAATTAATGTATGCATGCCATATGATATTTTTCAGAATTGTTTTACTCCATTCACTAACACATTTCTATGCTAAAACCTCACTATATTATATGTTTGACCCTTTAAGCAAAACTTTGTTTGCGATATATAAAAAATTCTCTACTTTTCTGAATCTGTACATTATATCGATTAAAATGATGTCTTACTTTAAGGATTGTGACCATCGATAGTGAAACTACAGCTCATTTTTTATGTCGCATAGTATTGGCATATTGGCCAGTGGCAAATAGTTAAACTGGCATATTCCAAACATTTCCTGTATCACATTTTCATCAGTTATACAAAGAAAAAAAATCATAAAATTGGGTTTCTTTTGAATAAATAGAATAAAAACTATGAAATAAACATAAATAAAGTTACTTTAAAAAGATTTGGTCCCTAGTATTATATGAACTAAGGTGTAGCTGAGTTGAGAAAAATACTGAAATAGTGTATTTCTTAGGCATGGCACTTGTAGCTATTTGACTATAAAAAGTACCAAATATATAATATAATGAATAAAAATGTATGTTACACTGATCAGTAGTAAAGGTCAAAGTAGAAAAAATCTACACTTTTCATGTGCAACTTTTGGTTCCAAATATATGAAAGAATGAATAAAAATATTATGACGTCGCAAAAAGATTAAAAAACTTCAAAATTTGCACACAGTCTGGTTTTCTTATATCTGGTTGCTATGTACAAATCTGTAATATTTGCATTAAATATACCAAACTGATGCTTTTAAATTAATGTATGCATGCCATATGATATTTTTCAGAATTGTTTTACTCCATTCACTAACACATTTCTATGCTAAAACCTCACTATATTATATGTTTGACCCTTTAAGCAAAACTTTGTTTGCGATATATAAAAAATTCTCTACTTTTCTGAATCTGTACATTATATCGATTAAAATGATGTCTTACTTTAAGGATTGTGACCATCGATAGTGAAACTACAGCTCATTTTTTATGTCGCATAGTATTGGCATATTGGCCAGTGGCAAATAGTTAAACTGGCATATTCCAAACATTTCCTGTATCACATTTTCATCAGTTATACAAAGAAAAAAAATCATAAAATTGGGTTTCTTTTGAATAAATAGAATAAAAACTATGAAATAAACATAAATAAAGTTACTTTAAAAAGATTTGGTCCCTAGTATTATATGAACTAAGGTGTAGCTGAGTTGAGAAAAATACTGAAATAGTGTATTTCTTAGGCATGGCACTTGTAGCTATTTGACTATAAAAAGTACCAAATATATAATATAATGAATAAAAATGTATGTTACACTGATCAGTAGTAAAGGTCAAAGTAGAAAAAATCTACACTTTTCATGTGCAACTTTTGGTTCCAAATATATGAAAGAATGAATAAAAATATTATGACGTCGCAAAAAGATTAAAAAACTTCAAAATTTGCACACAGTCTGGTTTTCTTATATCTGGTTGCTATGTACAAATCTGTAATATTTGCATTAAATATACCAAACTGATGCTTTTAAATTAATGTATGCATGCCATATGATATTTTTCAGAATTGTTTTACTCCATTCACTAACACATTTCTATGCTAAAACCTCACTATATTATATGTTTGACCCTTTAAGCAAAACTTTGTTTGCGATATATAAAAAATTCTCTACTTTTCTGAATCTGTACATTATATCGATTAAAATGATGTCTTACTTTAAGGATTGTGACCATCGATAGTGAAACTACAGCTCATTTTTTATGTCGCATAGTATTGGCATATTGGCCAGTGGCAAATAGTTAAACTGGCATATTCCAAACATTTCCTGTATCACATTTTCATCAGTTATACAAAGAAAAAAAATCATAAAATTGGGTTTCTTTTGAATAAATAGAATAAAAACTATGAAATAAACATAAATAAAGTTACTTTAAAAAGATTTGGTCCCTAGTATTATATGAACTAAGGTGTAGCTGAGTTGAGAAAAATACTGAAATAGTGTATTTCTTAGGCATGGCACTTGTAGCTATTTGACTATAAAAAGTACCAAATATATAATATAATGAATAAAAATGTATGTTACACTGATCAGTAGTAAAGGTCAAAGTAGAAAAAATCTACACTTTTCATGTGCAACTTTTGGTTCCAAATATATGAAAGAATGAATCAAAATATTATGACGTCGCAAAAAGATTAAAAAACTTCAAAATTTGCACACAGTCTGGTTTTCTTATATCTGGTTGCTATGTACAAATCTGTAATATTTGCATTAAATATACCAAACTGATGCTTTTAAATTAATGTATGCATGCCATATGATATTTTTCAGAATTGTTTTACTCCATTCACTAACACATTTCTATGCTAAAACCTCACTATATTATATGTTTGACCCTTTAAGCAAAACTTTGTTTGCGATATATAAAAAATTCTCTACTTTTCTGAATCTGTACATTATATCGATTAAAATGATGTCTTACTTTAAGGATTGTGACCATCGATAGTGAAACTACAGCTCATTTTTTATGTCGCATAGTATTGGCATATTGGCCAGTGGCAAATAGTTAAACTGGCATATTCCAAACATTTCCTGTATCACATTTTCATCAGTTATACAAAGAAAAAAAATCATAAAATTGGGTTTCTTTTGAATAAATAGAATAAAAACTATGAAATAAACATAAATAAAGTTACTTTAAAAAGATTTGGTCCCTAGTATTATATGAACTAAGGTGTAGCTGAGTTGAGAAAAATACTGAAATAGTGTATTTCTTAGGCATGGCACTTGTAGCTATTTGACTATAAAAAGTACCAAATATATAATATAATGAATAAAAATGTATGTTACACTGATCAGTAGTAAAGGTCAAAGTAGAAAAAATCTACACTTTTCATGTGCAACTTTTGGTTCCAAATATATGAAAGAATGAATAAAAATATTATGACGTCGCAAAAAGATTAAAAAACTTCAAAATTTGCACACAGTCTGGTTTTCTTATATCTGGTTGCTATGTACAAATCTGTAATATTTGCATTAAATATACCAAACTGATGCTTTTAAATTAATGTATGCATGCCATATGATATTTTTCAGAATTGTTTTACTCCATTCACTAACACATTTCTATGCTAAAACCTCACTATATTATATGTTTGACCCTTTAAGGGTGCAATCAACAGTTTTTTTCTATGACGTCATATTTTAAGGGACCATGTCTAAGTGACCCTTAGTGGTGGAATGGTTAATAAAGATACTTGTATAAAACTAGATATCACTGGAATCAGAATTGTCTCTAGTTTATATTGAAATAAAAATATAGTGTACTTTTAGTATAGTAAAAAAGTTCTATCCAGAGAAAATGGGGAAAAAGTTGCCTAATCTGAACATAAAAAACCTGAAATCAGCTCATGTGCATACCCATGTAAACATGATACAGGCACATTTACCATAATCAAAACTGTATGAAATTCATAGGTTTTTACCTGGCCTTTAATAAAAATCATGTTTCAGGGTACGGTTTCCTGCTTCGAAAAGAGCTACAGTAGCTGCAAATAAGTTTTCAATTTTCACTGCCAAAACAACAGGATGTTTACAGTGTTGTCTCCCCTCAAAACATGTATATTTAATCTAATTTATAAAATTATTTTAATCATTTAACCTGTTTAAATTGAAAGCTAATTAACTAATTTATACAATCAAATACAAAAAACATGATACTTTTTCACCAATTATATGAATAAAAAGGGATTTCCCTCCATGGTTATTTTTAGTCTGGGAATAACCCCTAGTTTTTTATACGAAACTGTTTATAGCACCCACATGTAATTATAGAGAATATTAATAATGTTATATACATCAATAAAATATTTTAAGTCAGATCTATATATATATAGACACTCTACTGGAATAAACTAATTACAGAAATAAAGTAATTATATGCTGTTTCTGAACTGAATCTGAAGTATATCAATGAATACCAAGTCCAGGCAGACTCATTAATTTTGTGCTCGGAGTACGGAGTAAAGTTTTATGGCTGGAAGCTTTATGACTGGTCTTCACTCTGGTTATTTTGTGATTACTTGTTCATGGCATTATCAGGATTATGCTTAATATGACAAAAATGATAAAAACTCTAGTTAAAATCTGCCCCTAAGTATGTACAGGTGCAAAAAGCGTCATTTTTGACAATTTTTCGTCCTATTTCTTGACCTGGAAGACCAAGGGATGCTGATAGATGTATCCCACTGCAGTCTGCATGTAGAGTAGACTCCAGTGAATACATTAACCACAACAAAGCTTAGGTCGGAGTGAAACTGATCTGGGTACAACAGTCGAAAGAAGGTCATTTGCACCAAAATTTCAGAATTTAACAATTTTCCCAATTTTTGGCTTCAACTGGACCTGCAACCGGAAGTAGTCATTCACTAAGTGTATTTCAATAATAAACACAATCAGTAGTTATACCCCTGTTGGTTTACACTATTTTTGGAAGTTTAAGGCCTCTGAACTGCATGTTTCGGACACCAAAGGGAAGCCCACCCCCTCCAGAAAAACCAGTTTTATCTGATTTGAATTTTCCAAGTTCATATTTGAGCTCAAAATTCACCTTAAACCTGAGAAACATGACAATAGATAGCCTTAGGTTGAGGGAACATGCATCAACTTTGAAATTAATGTCACACAGTTGACCTCTAAAAGTATGGAGAGCCATTGGAGCCAAAAAACGGTATGGCCGGAATATTACCGCCCCCCGCATGGTAAGGGTTAAGAATGCATATGTGTGGTTGTAGTTTCCTCTTTGCTTGTGTGAGATGTGAGAGGTATGAAAAATTTAAACAGGGTGGCTTCCTTTGTTGAGAGGACTTGACTCCAAATGGTTGATTAAACATATCGAAGAAATCAAACTATGTAAACTCTTTTATTATGAGGATGAATAGTGTCAGTAAAGTGTTATTTTAGACCATGTTTGACAAAGTGACTCCTACTTTAGATAGAAAGCACAGCAAAGAAGTTGATTTAATGGTCTATTTTACAAATAAGCAAAATGAAATAAACACATTATAATAACACATTTTTTATTGACACCCAAGTTTTCGGTGGGGTACGGTTGCCCAGTATTTGGTGTTTTGTAGACTCGTTTATCTTTTTGCTCTTTTAACGTTTTTCGCCATGGCATTGTCAGTCTTCGACCTGAATTTCCCTTTGATATCTTCTGCCTCTCTTTTAATATAGTATACATATGTATTTGTGAAATGAATTAATCTGTCATGTTCAATTTTTCAGCATCATCGGAAAAAGTTATCTGGTAGAAGATTAGATTATGACTGTAAAAAGAGAAAAAAGGATAAAGGTTTGTTTTAGATAATTATATTATCATCAAAACGCTACTTACAATCTTAAAATCATTCTGTTATCTTAGAACTTGGATTATATTTTCTGTGACAATCTTAAATTCTTCCAATTATCTTAGAGAACTCTCATTATATAAATACCTGCTGTGACAATCTTAAATTTTTCCAGTTAGTGTCGAAAACATATATATGTAGTACATATATTCTGTTACAATCTTAATTCCTTGTTAATTCACTGATATCATTAAAAAATTATCACTCTTGGCTTTTTGATTAATGGTTTATTTCCCAGAGACAAATCCTTTTTCTGTTATCTGTCCTTTACACTACAGAATACTGTGTAGTGGAAACATTGATTTATAATGCTGGACATCAGATACTTAACTAGTCTGATACATATACAGACATTCTAATAAAGTTGTTTCCAAAGTTTGCCATGGCAATTTTAAATTCACTGAGATATTAAATGTGCGGTCCTTATGACTGTGGCTCTCAGCGAACATGTCAATTATTGCAGATGAAGTTATAAATTTGTCCCCTTCATTGTCTATTTATATATGTTTTCTGTTATTTAAAGATCTTCTTGAATAATATTAAAAGTCAAGACAGCAAAGAAAAGAATAAAGCAAAAGTGATTTTAAAAAGTCATAATATTTCAAAAGAAAGTAGAAAAACCACTTCACAATATTTTAGCCAACCAATAAGGAATGTATGCTATTTCTTCAACACATTTAGTTATATACAGCAAGGTAAACTGCAATCACTGAAAAATTTGATGATAAATCTGTAAAGGTTCTGCTAAATTATGTAAACTTTATGTAATTTACTAGTATTTATAGTAGATGAAAATATCAGCAATTGTTTTGGGGGAGTGTAGGGTTTACTGTTAAGAGCTTTTTGATTTAATAACTGATGACGTTTGTTGTTTTTTCAGCTATAACATAACAGTCTTTGATTTTAAGTTTATTATGAAGAATAATGTCAGATTTTCTGATTTGATATTACTGTAAAGATACTACAGAATAGAAATATACAGGGTAGAAATATTACTGAAAAAAAATCTTAACTTTCTGTTTGCTTTGCATTTGGCAAATGATTGTCAAATTTTATATTTTACTGTATAATTTTACAATGAAAAAGTTTATCATGACCCAACATGTACACTATTTGTACTGTATACTGATAATTTATTTTGTATCTTTCCCCAGGAGGTAAGGACATATGCACTAGAAAGTCTAAGTATTATTTTTCATTCTTTGCATGATGTTAGGATGTACTACAAACAAATGGTTTCACAAAATAATTATTTAAGGTTTGGACCAGAACCGATTTGTGTATGTCACTCAAAACATATTTTTATGATGACATTATTGAGAAATGTGTATTAGTGATGAACATTATAAATTCAGATTTATATCAGAAAACTGGGACATTTTTAAAAATAAGCGAAGCACTAAGAAAAAGGTTCATCAAAATTCAATCTCTTAGCCCTTTTTAATCACAACAAAAAGAATTTTCAATGAAAATAATACTCTATTTCTAACCATGATCATTGTTATCCACCAAATCAGTGGAATTCACTATAACAACAAGAACACATGTCAAGAGGTAGTTGATTTAGATAAAAATAGTAAAGCAATAAGTTGATTAAAACTGTGTTATAGGTGAAAAAATAAAAGGCCTGCTAGAGAATTTGAAAAATACACCTTGCAGGAATGTTTTTGTGTGAAGAGATTTGTTTGTAGTCATAAACAGTGATACTATCAAAATTTGGACTTTTGAACTCTTATTTAATTTTAAGCATACCTAAGACACTAGATTTTGCATTATGCTTTAAGATATAACTTTTACAATTACGAAAATAGAAATAAGTATCACTGTTATTCACCTGTAAAGCTTTTGTCCCCATCTGATTTAATAAAAACATCAAAATGTTTGTAAACAATAGCTTATCTATGTTTAATGTACAGTCTTATTCATTTGACATGTCATGTTTGGTAAATTAAAAAAAAATTGTTTAAAAAAAAATTAAGAAATCAGGTTTTGCGGTCATAATACTCAGAATTCAACCAATCAAATTCTGAATTTGGTGTTTCGATCACAAATTTTGTACTCCAAGCAATTTATAAAGTAGTTATGACCGTAGGCCCAGCTTAAAGATATATTCCCAATTTACATAAACTAAATTTTGAAAATACTTGATATTTCATGTCAAATGACACGGCAGTAGATTAGTCTTTGTCTGGACAAATGCAGAGTGTTTTATAGATGTCAGATAGATATAAGCTTGCTAAATGCTTGAGAAATCATTTAGATTATAACCTCAAAAAATTTTATAAAGGTGAAACTTTAGATTTTAATTTGACTGTTGTGAAAACTGATTCATGACTCTTTGTTTTTGCTACTTTACTTTATACACTTCATTTTTGAGAAGTGAAAAGTATTTGTAATCAAATTATATTGGAAAGACAGCATTTTATAAATAGAAGCAGAGAATAAATATCATAGTTAATTTCAACATATCTTTTCTTATGGACTTTTAGTTATTTAGGAATGAAAAAAAAGGACTGTATGTTTAGGAATAAGGGCTGTTCCATTAAAACATTTATAGTACTCAGGAATGGCACCTTGAAAATGAGATAACCACCTTTCAGATGACCTTTTCTACTTGTTTGGGTTTTTTTGGTTTCACTGTAATATTAGAACTTTTAACTTACATTTCCACTGTACCACCAAGTAGGAGACACCCAGCAATAATTATGATTTTGAAGTGACTTCCCAGGCTCCTATGTATGGTTTTATGGAACAGCTCTAATGCTAGAATATTATTTTAAGATGTGATATGCTAAGATTTATCTATTTCCTGTTCAAATACAAGCAGATACAAACAGAATTCAAGAAAGAACTCAAAAATAATCTAAAATAAGACCTAAGCAGCTGAAATGGATAACTATCAATTATAGAGAAACTATGTCAATAGTAATTCTTGTATTCTGAAATTGGATCTTTATGTCTTATGACATAAGCATATTTGGACATGCAGTGGTTTTCATCACTTTCCTGACAATATTCATCAATTATATGAGATATCTGTGTATCCATAACCAATAGTTCATTGTATAATACATGTCTTCTTCTTTCATGCTATTCTTTCACTAAAGGAGAAGGTACTATTGATTTCAATGTATATTGCATATGGTGGTCAGAGGCTTTCAGTACTTATCACAATATCATATCATCTAGGGAGGATTTATTTCTTAATCATATGCTGAAAGATTTATGCTTATTTTCTCCAACTTTGTAAAGCAGTTTTATACAATTTTACAAGCATAGTGTAATTTTTTTTTATTTTGGAAGGGAAGTTCATGTTTTATTTTACTCCTGTGTTGTTTCATAACTTTCGTTAAACTAAAAAAAAACTCACTGTATATACTGCATTTGTATCATAGTAAAAGATATCACTACAACAGCTAGGGATATCATCTTAAGATATGTAGATAAGTACAAAAGGTAAATTATGGATGAAAAATCAAAAATAATACAAATATCTTCATCATCAAAGAAAGATAATAACCATAATTAAGGTATGAATAGCAGGGCTTGAAAATCTAGATAGGAATTGTTATATTTGTATTCCCAGAAAGATTGGGTTTTAGGGTGTATAGCATTTTATTTTTGTGGTGCATGGAGATTTTGTTTACTATTTGCTTGATCATTGTTTTAGACAGATTGATATTGTAAATTTTTGTTTAGTATTCCAGTCTATAAGGAAAAAATCCAGGAATGCAAAAATCTTAACTTATCTTTGTAATATATTTGACTGAAGGATGAAAACATACTTACATGTATTTACTATTTTTGTTGAGCCTGCGATTTTTGTCGCAGAAAGCTTGACATAGGGATAGTGATCCGGCGTCGGCGTTAGCTAACTTCTTAAAAGCTTTATATTTTCCAAGGTGGAAGACCTGGATGCTTCATTCTTAGTATATATATGCCTTATGTTATGAAGTTTCCGTCTGTTATATGTCCATTGTCCTTGACCTCATTTTCATGGTTCAATGACTACTTGAAAAAAAGTTCAGATTTTTTGTAATGTTAATTTCTCTCTTAATATGAGTAATAGGATAACTATATTTAATATGTGCGTACCTTGTTAGGTCCTCTTGCCCGTCAGACAGTTTTCATCTGACCTCGACCTCATATCATGGATCAGTGAACAAGGTTAAGTTTTCGTGGTCAAGTCCATATATCAGATACTATAAGCAATAGGTCTTCTATATTTGTTGTATGGAATGATTGTAAGGTGTACATGTCCAACTGGCAGGTGTCATCTGACCTTGACCTCATTTTCATGGTTCAGTGATTAAAGTTAAGTTTTTATGTTTTGGTCTTTTTTTCTAATACTATATGCAATAGGTCAACTATATTTGGTGTATGGAAATATTTTACAATGTACATGTCAGTCTGGCAGGTTTTATTTGACCTTGACCTCATTTTCATGGTTCATTGGTCAATGTTAAGTTTGTTTTTTAGATACTATAAGCAATAGGTCAACTATATTTAATGCATAGATTGATTTTAAGGTGTACATATCTGTCAGCATGGTTCATCTGACCTTGACCTTATTTTCATGGTTCATTGGTCAATGTTTAGTTTTCCTGTTTAAGTCTGTTTCTTAGAAACTATAAGCAATAGGTCAACTATATTTGGTGTATTGAATGATTGTTAGGTGTACATGTATTTCTAGTTTGGTTTATCTGACCTCGACCTCATTTTCTTGGATCATGTTAAGTTTATGTGATACATTTAGTAAAGCTTTATATTTAGGACTATCAATATAAAATCAATGGTCAGTAAAGAAGGCGAGACATTTCAGCGTGTGCAGTCTTGTTTTTCTATGGTTGAAGACAATCCCCTTGAGATGTATCTTTTTTGGTAATTCTTGTTTTGTTGGATTGATGTCTCATTGACATCTTAGGATCTATCCCATATCTTTTTTTTTTTATTACTCTGCTAGTATTTTTATTTTGGGCTCCATGGATGCTGTAAATGTTTTATGGATAAAACAGCCGTTTTGATTAATTATTTTAAAAACGTAAAATAGTTTAAATAAAAGATTAGGAGTAAAAGCTTATGGCACAAGAACAAATAAATATCATGTAAAGTAAAATCTAAAATTGATAACAAATCAATAACCATGCCCACCTCGCACTATCAAATTTCCATGTTCAAGGAACTATAAAATAAAGGTCAAAACCTTGAATCAAAACATTAACCTGATACAGGACAGACTAACATAGGGACTATTGGACTGACGGTAACACAGAACAGAGACCTTATGTAGACAGGGCATAAAAAATGCAGAAGGCTTCTTCGATAATTGGGTCCAGGTAACTACTGAGATACAGACATGGTAGTCCTACTGAATTCTGTAGCTTGATTATTATTACATATAGATAATAAAAAGGGCTACCTTTGAAAATATATTTCAAACTACTACTGTATAATCCACCCTCTACAAGCAAGACAATACATGGACAAAACAACCCAAAATCAAATTGATAGGTGAACAAAAAACTCAAGAAAGAATTGTGCAAACTCACTTTTAACTAGATCTTTGATGAAATTTTAAAAACACGATGACTTAACCAAATTAAAAATACAAAGTACATTTAATAATCAAAACTGTTGAACTAAAGTTTTTAAAAAATCTGAAGAAAACTACTTGGATACAATATACAATTCTAAACCTAAATTACCATTTAAGATATAAAAAGTGGGGTGTAAAGCAGAAGCTCTGAACAGTTACACACTATATTTATCCATCATATATTTGAAATTTTATAGGATTAGCATGTAGATATTAGCTTAAAGCTTAAATATATTTTGCACTATTACCATTTTGCCTTTTTTTCATTCTCCTATTCCATTTGTTCCTTATATAATTACATTTTGATTCAATTTTCAAATAAAATTCAGAATAAATATTAAAAATAAAACAAAAATGGATGTTCATAGAAATTTAGAATTTTAGAAAACATTATATTGAATTGAATTTAATAAAAAGATTTATATGTGTTATGATTGTCATTATACACCATGTTTTTATATAATACTTGTCAGAACCCTGTCTTCCAAAAATATCACTGAGATACATGTAAACTTGTAGTTATCTAAAGCCTTTTCTTTATCAGAATGTATATCATGATGCTGAAAATTTAATTAGTCAAACTTTATGTTTTGGAAATCTTATACAACATTTATTAGGAAAAAATAACTGAAACCTTTTTAAAATATGGACATATTTTGATAAACAAGACCCAACAGACAAATACTAAAGAGGTTAAGACAAACAATCTTAGTTGAATGTTTAATTATGGTCTTTTGCAAAGTTTGAAAGTAGCAAAAACGAGATGATTTTTGACATTGCTGTCAATAGACATATAAAAGTATATCCAACAAGATTCAATATTTACTATAATTTGATGTTGCTTGTGGTTTTAGTGGTTGTAACATTAGGTACATAGTTCAAACTTATTAATTTATATTATATATACTACATGTACCTCTTTACAAACAGAAACAACAAGCAAAGGCGCAGGTAGTATTAATGTTTTATTATATTAGAATGCTCTAATTAACCAGATAAATGAGTTACCTCCCCTTTGGGATAGAATATTTAATATGCAGTCAGTATCAAAATTTATCATCAGCTTCAGTAAAAGTTGCTTAAAGCATGAATATTTTATTTACTCTTTGCTTGAAATCTTCTCCAATTCATTATCATATAACTCGAAAAGTGCCATAACAATGAAAACATTGAAATAGAAATGCCAATCTAAAACATCTGAAAAGTATATTTGAGATTTTGAGACAGAAAGCTTAAGAAATTTAATGTTTCAATGAGTGATGAAACCTCATTGTTTGTCCACAGAACAAGCTTTTTTGTCTCAGGTGTCATTCTTCTCATGTGATTCACTTTCATTACATGGAACTACAACTTATTACTTAAATTAAGCACATGGCAAACCAAATAAAATAAGCTAAATATTACCATTACCTATCAGTAATATATTTTCAATACAAGGAATATAGTGAGCATGTTAAAGAGGTTTGGGAGTTTTTAGTTAATAAGAGAATTATAGTTACTCTCTCAAATAACATGACTTGCGTAACTGGTATGTTGTACCATCAATTGCTGCTGGAAGGGGAGCATTTTACATAGTAAAACAGAGTCTGCTTGTATGTTTGTAGTTTCCAAGAATATCATACATTGGAAGTGTACTGCCTTTAGTTTTCAGAGTTTAGTCATATTGCAGTGTGCAGAGATTACTCTATGTTTGGTACCCTCATCCTTACTTTGAAAATGTACACTATTATATTCAAGACATATGATTTATGCTGAAAAAGATGTGAAACACATTTTATTGAAAGACTCCCTCCCATTTTAATATATTCTTTTTAAAAGTTATGAAGAATTAAGGATGCCGTACATCATTTTAATTATTCTTATCTTTATATTTAATTACATTTTGTACCAGTAATAACCTGTCACATATTGAACAAAAATGAAGGAAAATGGGTTCTGTTACTTGTCCGAAGTGAAAATTTTCAGTAATATTCACCAAAGTAGGGATGTTAAGAGCTGGAAAAAAATAAAAGGAATATACTTGTACATTATTTTTTTTACCATGCAAGCTAGATATTGCAATATTTGCATGCAATGTGCTTAATGTCTGTGAATGTATGGCATGTCTGGTTATAGATATAGAGGTGTAGGGAAATACCCTGTTTCCATGGTTATTGTTGTGGTTAACATTGTTTTAAAAGTGTTTGCATGAGGAATAAAATATGAGAGCATTATATGAATTTACATTCCACATTTCTTTAGTAACTGAACAGATAATTTTGAAGAAAAAAAAATAATTATTGTGTCAGAAAATATATAGGGAACATGAGTAGAGCATGATAAAAATATAATGAATATCCTAGAAGGAAATATTCACTATGGTTTGAAATTCAATCTCTATTATATATTTGCAAATAGATACAAATATCAACATTTTATTTCCTCACCACACTGGTGGGAGCTTATCATTTTATCTACGTCCTTTCTTCTGTCATTCAAATTATACAACAGAAATCAAAACTATAGTATGTCTTTCCTGCTGATATGGACCTTGTTTTTGGCATGTAGTTCTATAATTATAAGTTACAAATTGGAGTCGTAATCTTGTATTCATACTAAATTTTGACCAAATTACGTCCCATGAACCTGAACTTTTGCTTGAAAATTCTTCTTTTTTGGTTGTCATGGCATGCTTGATTTTTGGTTTATAGTTCAGTAATAATGAGTTGGAAGATTGAGTTTTCATTTTGTTCTAGATATTTTACATTTTAATGAGTTATGGCCCTTGATTAAATCCCACATGCTTGGATGAATATATTCCTGTGGTATTGACACATCTATAGTTTTATATTTTGATATCAGTTGTTTCCCATTTTTATAGGATCATATTGATTATTTCCTGCATTTGACTATTTTTTCAGTTAACTGAAACATTTTCATCTTTATTTATCAATTCATTTTGAAATCATTAATATCATTTCAACCAATATATTTATGCTGATTTTCTGAAAATGTCTATAGTTGAGTTGGTACTTAGTGATGATTAATAATTGATAAAAAGAAATCATTCAGATTTCATTATCATACTAATAATTATCATTAGACCTCCTGATCACCAACTAACAAAAGCTTGTTTTAAAAATTTCTCATAGATAAGTTTTCTGTCATTGTTTTTTCATAGGTTTATGTTAATTATATTTCCCTTTAAAAAACTAACTCACAAAGTATAATATTCTATTTTGCAGGATCTCAAGTTACAGATGAAGACCTAAGGGTTGCTGAAGAAAAATTTGACGAATCAAAACAATTAGCAGAAGCTGCAATGAGTAACCTCTTAGAAAATGATGTAAGTCACAGTTACACACCAACAAAGTATTCTTCATCAACTGATTTATGACGTTTCCCCCCTTTTTTTTAGGGAGTTTGTGTCTTGATGACTCATCTGTATGGCTGCCTTTATAGAAAACAAACTTGGTTTGCTTTACCGTTAGTTTTTTTATAACAAGTTTAAGACCCATTGTAACTTAGAAAATTGTCTGTATACATTTAATATATGAATACCATGTATGTCTTCTTCTGATTTGAATGAAACTTTATATGATTGTCCTCAGATACCTTAGGATGGGAGATGCCATTCACATCTTCTGACAAAAAAAGGCTGAATATACCAAAGGCAGAATCAATTCTCTTAACTCTAAAACAGATCAACAAAATCATAGCAAAAAACTCTTAAATAAAAAACATGAACCCAACCAAAAATCGGGGGTAATCTCAGGTACACCGGAAAGGGTTAACAGATTCTGCTCCACATATACTACCCTATGTGTTACTCCTATAAAATATGTTGATAAGTTATATCAACTTATTACAAATAATCCAATAGGGGATTGGTAATTGGCTCTTATATAACTCTAAGAAATCTCTTAAACCAATGGTCATGTACATTTTCTAAGCCATGAATTTGACTGAATGAGAAATTTTGAAATTGAGCAACATTTCTTAGGAAAAAGGAGAGACAAGACTGTTACCAGTAGAACAACACAGACATTGAAAAATCAAAATACACAAAGTAAAACACTGAAAACTTAAGCAAGAGCAACACAAACCCCTTTTTAACAAAACTTGGGGTGATCTCAGGTGCTATGGAGGGGTCAGCATATCCTGCTTCATATATGTGACTCCCATTGTATTGCTTATGGTAAGTACAAATTTACCATTAAGTTTTGTTTGGTGATGTTCCAATTATGGAATCGAGGAACAGGAGAATGGATACGATAATCAGAACATATCTATGGTTATCTGCGAGACAGATATTACCAAACGGTCAATCAACTCATGATGGTGCCTGTAAAACTTTCAAAGATTTGACTTTATTACTAGAAACCTTTGTTCAATAGCTTCCTTGTAAGCAGCAACTCTTGATTAATGAAATCGTAATAGAAAAGGCAAGATCTGAAATATCTTTTTCAAGTGGAAGATATATATATATTCCATATGTAGGTGCAGGTAGAATGGAAAGCTGAAATTATCTTTTTTAAGTAAAGTTTTGTTCTGAACCGACTCTAATTTCTAGGTGAAAGTCAAGATATAAGACATAAATAACTTTACCTGTGGTATCCTTTATTTAAAATTTGATGGGATAGACAAGTTCAATATAGTAACCAAGTTTTGAATTAATTAGTGAGAGGAGTTAATCCATTTTATATTCTTCATGACTCCTGAGGAGCTCCTACATGAAGTAAGTCTCCAATGAATTATTAAAGAACCAAATCCATAAGAAGAGTGGCACAGATAGTTTGTCATAGAATTGCCGATCAGATACATTCTGTAGTGCAGGCAGACACCTTAGGATGAGAGTGTGCATTCACATCTTCTGAGTTATCCTTTGGTGTGGGGGATGCTGTTCTATTAATTATTAATTGTTTACTTTACTTTACAGGTAGAACATATATGCCAGCTACAGTCATTTATAGAAGCTCAAGCTGAATACCATCGGTCAGCCATGGAAACTTTACAGGGTCTAGTACAGACTTTAGAAGACAAGTAAATATGAATATTGTATTTTATTGATGCCTTTTGAGTGAATTTTATGTTTAAAAAAATTATTAGATTTACATTTATGATTTTGCAGATTCGCACTGCAAAACAGATAATCCTGGTTGCAGTTTATAAAAAAAGTTGTAAATATCTTTCGTATTGTAGTTGTATACAAACCCATGCATGTGTCACCTATTTTGTTGTAATTTATCTGTTTAATTTCAATTTTACTAGGGCTTTGAATGCTTGCTATGTATTGAAACCAATATTGCTGAGGTGAGAAACTTGTTTCCGTTGAGTTTACATAATTTTGATCGTGAAATTGTGGTTTCAAAACCCAATTTTTTTCAGCAATCCTGATAAAGATTAAAATATAATTGATCACTTTCAAGTTCTGTATTTAGGGAAATTTAACACATGAGTATCTTTTTAGGAGAGAAAATGCTGGATCCAGACCAAGAAGGGAACGTAAAACTCGACCAATGTCTGAAAGACGAAGCACCTCCCCAGACCATTTTTATGAAGCAGCACCTAATGACTTAACAAACCATGGCAATGGTTTTAATTATAACTCATCTTCTAGTTTTAGTTCTGGTAAGTTAAAAACAGTAAATATTTAATAATTATGGAAGTCCACTTGGATCAGTATGTGCTGAAGCTTGAAGATTTAATGTCCTGGTAAATTTTATATTAAGCTGAATGTTCCATTAGAATTGAGATAACCCAAAATTTACATAACTTGACTTCTTACATTTAAAATATTAAACAAAATATCGGGTGTTATACATTATATTAAAGGCATAAAACAGAAGTTGATCTAATCTACTGGGGATATCTGAAAATTAGACTGCAATCTGTATATTTTATACTGTTATAACTAGATATAAATATGATCTTTTCAGCACCAAAAAAGGAAGCTTGTTGTGAAGCTTTATATGACTTTGAACCAGAGAATGAGGGAGAGCTGGGGTTCCAGGAGGGGGATAACATCAAGTTAATATCTCAGATTGACGAGAATTGGTATGAAGGATCTGTAAATGGAAGGACTGGATTTTTCCCTGTTAATTATGTCAAAGTTGTAGTGGATCTGCCTCATTAGAATAATCTCATTGTTGACTGTTTTCGTTGTTGGTTTTTGTGGACTATGATTTGAGCTTCCAAATTTTATTGTGGATAAGTAAGATTCTTAGATAAGATAAAAAATTTCAATTGTGGATAGCTAAGATTTTTAGATAACAGTTTAAATTATTAAATGTACAAGGAGACAAATAGTATAATGAAATAGTTATGCAAGAATGAAGTTGATTTTTTTTTTAATTTACTTTGGAAGACATTTAGTTAGAACCGTATTATTTTAATTTAAATATTTTAGTATATATTCATTGAATAGTTCATTTTTTAATACATTAAAGGAATTTTATATCAAAGTCAGTAAAGATATTGGTGACGACATAATAATTCATGCATGAAATTATACTTTCAAAGGAAAATAAATTGGAGTTTCACTCTAGACAAGATAAATATTGTCCAAAAATACAAATTTTCATCATAATTTTTGTTTATGAAAACAAGGGAGGTAACCTATGTGTTATATGATGATCTGTCACGTATTATTACTTAAAATCAGAAAAATGACGAAACAATGTGGATCTATCTAGTTCTCTTAAAAAAAAACAGATAAAAGCTTAAAAAACATTGAATATGATTTTGATTGTATCTGTAAAAGTAATCCAACATGCGACATCACAAATTTTGGCCTGAGAAACTTACAGTTAATTTTCTATGATCGGAAAAAAACATTATTTGCTATATAAGATAGTAAGTAAATATTTTATGTCTTCTTTTTTTTTTTAATTTTCATTTTCTATTGTTTATGTTAGTTATGATTGTTTGAGATGTGTTTTTCATGCCAGCTTGTGTAATACTTAAGCTTTGTTTGCCTGAAGTGGCATAATTGATTTGAATAAAAGTGTAGATTGAATTTAAATATAAACCAATTTATATCTTTCTTCTTGTCCATAATTTTTGATTTTAGAAAAAGATAATTTTTAAACCAAATTTCAGTGTGAATAATGTTGATTCTTCATCAATTTACCACTACTTTACACATTGAAAACATATACACAATACCAAATGTTAAACCAGGCTGAAAATATGGGACCAGTAGATATGATTAATGTTGTCTAACAATTGTCCTTTTTAAAATTAGGAAACAAATTATTTAATGTAAAAATTGTTGAATTTTTATGTAAATACTGTTAATTTTTACCAGATCATGACTTAATAAGTATGTTTATTTATATATATATATATATATATATATCTCTATTATCTTGATATACCTAAAAATACCAAAAATACCTCTGATGAAAGTACTAAACAGTAAGGACTACAAAGAACGTTTACATGCATTAGTCAAAGAAAGTTGTTTCAATGAAGTCATCTATTATAGTTATAAAGGTTATTTTGAGGGAGTTTATTGACATTTAAAATTTTCTCAACGAGTAAACTGAAAAAAGTCCTGTGAAATTAGTAACACTTTAAGAAGTATTTCACCTGTTTAGGAAGACATATGTATACATGTACAACCCTTTTGTTGCCATGACACTCACCAATTAAATTAATATTAGATAGCCTCAACATTTTACATAGGTCATCTATTATCATAAGCCAGATTAGCCCCATGCTATTAAGATTGTCTGTCATGACAAATTGAGGCATTTTAGTAAAAAAATTAACTTGTCATGAAGGCTGCCAAGAGAAAACTTACAAGTGTACATGGCAATATAGGTCCTGACATTTTCAAACTATTTATTTAAAATAATCCCTGTCTGCAATAAAGCAAACATTAAATATAGATTTTCCAATGTAATGGTAATACAAATTTGGAGACACAAAATTAACCTTCTTTTGAAGATCTTTTTATAATTCTTATTCTGAATTAAAGGAGATTTGGCATATTTTTAAATGAGACAACAACCCAATGACACAAATAACCAAGATACAAATTCTTAAACATTGTATGTTAAGCATCCATCCATCCATCTTATTCTTGAACACAGATGGAAATGGTCTCCTTTGTAAAGGGTGATAAATGAAGATTTTTGTATAATAGACATTGTCTCATCGATAAAAATATATTTGAATTTTTGATGTTCGAGTTTGTATATTATTTTAGACAAGATTGTCTATAAATTAACAGCCTGGCTGTACCATAGAATATTAGTTAATTATAATCGCTTAGCTTTGTTATGTTCACTGAGATTATGTGATGCTTAGAGCATTTGTGCACATTGCTCAAACAAATCCCTATAGCTTTAAGGCTTTTGTTACTTTTTAAGTCATCACCTGAATTTAAAATTGAAAAATATAAGCTATGTCTTTAAATAAATTTGACCCATATTGGCTAGCCTGAGAAATAGTTTGTTAATAATATCCATGTTGGCTGTGGAATAAGTGTATTACATTTTCATTAGAAAGTGGTAGTTAAAACTTCTGCATGGGAATTATTAATGAGTTATAGTTCCTTTACCATATCTTTAAGAATGAAATACTGTGGATTCATTATTATTCGTAGGATACCAATTTTCCTGGATTTTGTGAGTACAGGGAAACCATGAATTTAAATGTTCAACGAATTACAAATTTGCTGTATGATTAGATGCAGATTTTTGAAAAACCATGAAATCAAATATCCACGAAAATGCAAGTTTTCCTCAATCTTTGAAAATTGGGACCCATGAAAATAAATGAATCCACAGTATTCTTAGATCAGAAGTCAATACTTAGGCTTCAGTCCATAAGAAAACCATATAAAATCCTTTAAACAAAACATTCCTTACATTTAGTAGGCATTATAGTTTAGATAGATCTGAAATTTAAGAGATTACGTTCATTATACTTCATAATTATATATGTTTATTACTTTCTTCACCCTCAACTTCCTGTGTAATCTGCTGAAATTGTATATTTTGCAAAACACATCTATAAAATTTACCATATTGTTTGAGAGCTGTTTTTATCTTTTGTCAAAAGATATATTGTTATTTCACTTTTTTGCAATATTTGTTTAGATGTAATATATAAATTCTTTATGGCATATTTCTTCATGGCATATTTTGTTTTATACAAATGTTTAATTGAATTCACCTGTAAAACTTATTAAATGATCATGCATATATTCTTTCAAGTGTTTCACTCAACTGGCCTAAAAGTTATTCAAGCAACTAACTTTATTTGTGACATGCTAATATTTTCTGAAATCATAGTGGGAAGCAGGTAGTAAAGTCATCATCAAGCTTACAAGTCTGTATGAAAATATGGAGATGTGGTTATGATTGTTACTGTCCAAATGATGAGAATGTTAGCAACTAAAGGTCACTATACAGCCTTCAACAATGCACAGAATGCATACTGTATAGTAAGCTATAAAATGGCAGACGCTACTAAATGTAAATCATTCAAACAAAAATCCAACAGTATGATTTATTAATTAAGAAAAAATAATGTGAAAAACCGAATATGACACACAGCAACAAACAACAAGCACTGAATTACAGGCTCCTTACTTGGCACAGGCACATGGTATGGCAGGGTTAGATATGTGTGGACATCAATAAATAGGTATGAAGGTGAGCCACTCAGTCTGCAATTTATTATGCTACCCTGAAATTTTTTTGGAGCATATAGCTGCCGCTTTGTCCGTCTATCCAAAGCGAATGAGGGAAAGAACTCTTTAAATTTTTAGGTTAAAGGTCAAGGTCAAAGCTGAAAAATATTGACTGGAAATATAGTAATATTAGGTGCAGGTTAGCCAAAGGGAACCATTGCCTTTATCTTGCTAAGTAGGTACTCTAAAAGATTATTCTGTATATTAGGGTATTGGAGAAAGTATTTTGGTTTCTAAATTATTATGGTTGTTTTGTTTGTCATCAATATTATTAGGTATGTCAGGGATCCTCCTTAATTTTCAGTTCAAGGACTATAAATCTGCAGTGCAAACTTTCTACTTGTTTATAGGTGAGTGATTGTTGCGTGCTGTGAGTTGTACAAGAATGCTATGTTTTGCCAGTGGATACATCTGGGATAATATGAAGGATTACTTTTATTAAACACTGAATTTTCAATTAATAAATGAGTTAACTACAAAGTAGTCTTGCATTATGGTCCCCATGCAAACAGCTATAAAATGGTGGCCAAGTGGTCTAAGTAGTCAAACTACTGTATCACTAGCCGGTCACACTGAGGTTGTGAGTTCCAATCCTGCAAGTGGTAGATGAGTCGACTCTAATCTTAATTGTCTTATTAAGTTGCTGTCTCATTGACATGTACTCTACATGTTCTTAAATTCAAATGTATGGCATAAATTTACTAAATCTGGTAAAAGAAGACTGTTTACTCAAACTACCAGATTTTTACCTAGATTCTAGATCTTTGACATGAAATTCAATATAACTTAGCCTTATAAAATGAGCAGATGTGGTATGATTGCGAATGACACAGCTATCCAACAGAGTTCAAATGAAGCGGATTTAAGCACCATATGTCACTGTACGGCCTTCTACAATGAGCAAAACCTATATCGTATAGTAAGCTATTAAAGGCCCTAATATGAAAAATGTAAGAAAATTCAAACAAAAAAAGCCAAAATCCTAATTTATGACAAAACAACAAAAGAATAACAAATATGACATACAGCAACAAATGACAACAACTGAAATACAGGCTCATGACTTGAGGCAGGCTATTATATAATATGGCAGGGTTAAACATGTTTGTGAGCGGTCAACCCTCCCTTCAAAACGGGAATGTAATGATATTACATTTTAAATGCTAAATATGTACATGTATATATATACCAAGAAATTTGTTTTGCATGCACACGTATAATTATCGCGCTTTTTATCCAATGCAATCATAGGTTTGAATGTTGTTTTCAATTTAGACTTGTTTATAATTTTTCGTTTGGGCTTGTATTATATTTGCCTTCGGGTTTATATGATCCGTTCATCCTATTTTGACTCTTTCAAAATTCAAGAGTCTATCCTAAATTGAGGTAAATTAAATGGCCTTCCAAATACCGTTTCGATTCCTAACATCACTGAAGAGACATTAATTGTCGAAATCCGGATATGGTGTACAAATTTTTGCACCTCATGTTTGCGGTATACCATCTTTTCCGCAAGTTTATTGTTTTCTGTTTGGTAATAAATTAATAATGATATCTATTTTGTTACATCTTGTGATCCGTTTATTTGGCAATCGCCAATGGCAGTCAGCAGGGTTTAAGAACATCAGTTCTTCGACCTGCTAGTCAAATGCGTTTTGTTAAAATATACTTTTTCACTCATTTGGTCTTTTGGAAAATGCTGTTTGTGCTGTATTTAGACCCCTCTACCAAGAAATTTGTTTTGCATGCACACGTATAAAAATTACGGTTTTTATCCAACGCAATCATAGGTTTGAACGTTGTTTTCAATTTAGACTTGCATGTATATATATATATATCCAATTATAAAAGGACAAATTCCTGTTAGTTGTGAATTATGTGAAACTGATAGACCCATTAAATGGAAGTGTTTAGATTGTGAACTTTGTAATCATTGTAAGGAGAAGGTATATTTAAGAGTAAAAACTGAAAAGGAATACAAAATATTTGATGTAAAAGAAATTGGGCTTTATAAAGAAGAACTAGATTTTGCAAACATTCCTTGTGAGCACCATGCTGGACAATATTCTTGTCTTTATTGTAAGACAGGTGACACTCTTATTTGTCCAACCTGAGTAGCAAAAGTTCACAAGAAACATGAAATAACAGAAATTCAGGAAGGATATGAAATGAGAATAGACAAGTTGAAAGAAGGACAAAGTAAAATTCAAAGGGACAGGAAAGAAATTGTTTCCAAAAAAGAACAGCTTATCAAAATTTTAGCTGCAGAAAATTCTAAATACAAGCAGATACACCAAGATATTCATCAGCATGAACAATACGTCAAAGCAGCAGTAGATAGATTCTTTAAAAAGCTACGAGATGAATTAGATCAGAATATTGAAACTGTTTCTAACACAATCAAATCTGATTTAAATGTTGTCTTAAAATTACTAAAACAAGTTGATGATAACATCAATGAAGTCCAGGAACTCGTATCATTAACCAATGTTTCCAAGTTCTTTACAGATGTCAACAATTTCGTAAAATTTATTGACATCCAAATGCCAAATGCAAGGTCGAATCAAGGCTCTATACCGAACTTCATCCCAGGGGAGATCAACAAATCTAATATTGGGGTGTTAGAATTTGATGCACATATGTCTCATGAACCACATACCAATCTGACAATGAATAAACAAAATCAAACTGAACTAAGGACTATAACATATGTATGCTCGTCTATTGATGGATCCTTCTGGATAAGTTCTGGAAATTTTGGTTTAATTCAAAAAGTGAAGCTTGATGGAACCAAACTGAAGATACTATCCAGTTATAATGCCAAGGTCTATGGTATGGCTGTTACTCAATCAAAGAATCTACTTCTGTGTACTGAGGGAGCAACCCTCCAAGAAATAAGTAGTAATTTGGGTGATCTTACAGACTCAGTATATAATGTGTCACCATTCCTTCCCACAGCTGTCCATATCACCAGTGACAATAAAGTTATAGTGGGAGGTGTTAATAAAAGACTACCCTAAACAAGGAAGAAGAGTTTTTATACTAATGAACCAGAATGGAAACCATGAGAGAGTGTTTGAACATGATCAACATAATCAACCTTTATTATCCTTTCCTGTAAGTATAACCAGTACCAGTAATGGGAATGTAATTCATGTGGTGGACAGGGTTGGCAAAAACCCGGGTTTTATGAGTATTGCCCAGCCCAGAGGGAAATACTGGGAAAACCCGGGTTTTACCGGGTAATACTGGGCAATACTGGGTAATATGAAATACTGGCCTAAATTTTAAAGAGGATTCAGTGATTAATCACAAATGCAATACACTAAAGTCGAAGAATTCATTTTTTTTAAAATAAATATAACAAATATTAAGAATTAACAAATCTATGTAAGGAAAATTACTTTTTAACATTTTTTGTTGATTACTAAAAATGTTTACTAAGTTTGAGCATATGTTTATATACATCACTAATGAATAAGTAATTATTCAGATAGTAATACAGATTTGTTTATATTACAATAATCAGCCTTTTGATTTCTATAAGTGTTCATGGCCTGTCCCCTTATGGTGTTTATTTAGCAATATGATTGTATAACAATTAAAGTTTATAATTCACTTAAACACTGCAATAAAATGCATTTTTCAACTTGGATTTAATATTGAAACAAAGCTTGGAAATTAACAAGGAATCCTGATATGTCCAAAACTTGTGTTCTGCCTACATAGAATTAGTGGAGAAAAGGAAGAAATTGAATTTTCAATCTTCAGGAATGACTCTCAATGGTTATCTGTATAAAATGTATATATTTAGCTATAATGCTAATAAACTACAACTAGTCGTTACTATTTTGTGTAAAAATAAGCTTGAAAAATCATATTACCCAGTATTACCCGTTTCTAGGAGTATTGCCCAGCCCGGGAAAAGGGTTTTCCCACACGGTTTTTCCCGCCCGGGTAATACTTTGCCAACCATGGACTGGTGGATCAAGTAAGTGATGATAGAGGCAGAGTAGTAGTGTTAGGACTGGGTGGAGATATAATCAATATCTATACAGGAGATACTGAGATCAACAAGGCCATACGACTCATTCCAGGAGACGTAGTGACTACACCTAGAGATAATGTTATTGTAGCTGATACGGATACCAACACACTTCATATCCTGAACAATGCTGGCATACTGATGACATGTTATAAAACAAGTAACATAGAAATAATCTATCCATTTGCGCTTGCATTTTCCGCAAAAGGACAACTCTACATAGGATGTAGTACACCAAAAGGTAATACAGTAAAGTATGCAAAGATATATGAAGTGGCCATATCAGGATGCTAAAACATTCTATATAATATTTATTGATAACAATAGTAAATAATATGTTTGCTTTTGTATTTTTTCAATCTCATTCAAAAACTTAACATATCTACTCTTTGTTTGGCCCTTAGATCCACAAATAGACCTCACAATTAGATGGTCATAATCATTTTCCCATAAAATTCACATTA